GGGGAGTTACCATATTGATTAATGATATTGAGTGTCAACTTTATTAGTTCAGCAGCAAATTAACAAGTAATACTATCCGCTTCTAACCACCTTAACATGAAAAGGAACACACGTAACAACACGTAACAATACATGTAACAAAAATTTCCTCTTGGAATTAAGGAATTTTACACACGTAACAACACGTAACAACACGTAACAAAAAATTTTTTAAATAGTATTATAATATTCTTTAAAAAAATATTTGTTACGTGTTGTTACGTGTGTAAAATTCCTAAAAACCAAGAGGAATGGTTTGTTACATGTATTGTTACGTGTTGTTACGTGTGGTCCTTTTCCTGTTAAGGTGGTCAGAAGCGGATATTATTACTTGTTTGCTACTGAACTAATAAAGTTGACACTTAATATCATTAATTAATATGCTAACTCCCCTAACACTTGTAAAGCTCTACACCAGAGTGCAAAAATGGTTCAAAAAATCGTTATCATCTCTACCGCCCCCAACCCTCACCAATTTTTGTGAGAAATTTAAACAAATGCATGAGGATATTAATATAGCTGCGAGAAATCAGTCAACAATTTGTCAAAACCTCACAACACCATTAAACCGCGGTTTCTACTTCAAGACAAATCCAGAAAATCCTGTGCAAAAATTTCTGGAAAATGCATTCATCCGGAGTTTCTCAGTGATATATGAACTGTTCTTCCCCCCTTCCCCCATATCAATGTTGAGAATTGTTATTTTTGTGTTGCACAAGGTAGTGCTGCCAAGATAATCAACATTGCTAATGGGGGGAGGGGAAAGAAGACAGGGAATGAGAGAAAAAATGTTTTCCAAAACATTTTTGCACAGGATTGTAGACACGATAGAAACAGAAACGGAGGGGGAGTAGCAATATACGTACGTAATATTATACCATTTTCCCAAAAAAATCTCTAATCCCAGAAAACGCCAAGGCAATCTGTCTTGAAATCAAAAAGCCAAAATCCAAACCAATAATAATTTCGACATGGTACCGAGCACCAGGATCTAGTAGCACAGGAATACTTAGAAGTAATTATAAGAAATTATAATAACAGTGACTTCAATATAGATCTACAACCTAAAGATCATAATGAATGCAGCAACACCAGACGATTTAATGAACTATCAAACGCATATCAATTTCTGGCCATTACTGCAACTTATAAACAAACTGACTAGAATAACTGTGTCAACTAAAACGTTGCTTGACTTGATAATTTGCAAAATTGATGATTCAAAAACAATAGCTTCAGGCGTTATTGATCTAGGTACAAGTGACCACAACCTTGTTTATATTTGTAGAAAGGTAGGAATACCAAAACGGAAACCTAAAATCATTGAAACAAGAAATTAACACGAGGCTTAGCCGCTTAGGGAAAGTTCGTTCCTGAACATTATGTAAGTTTTGTTAACCTTGTTTAACTGATTAAGGTGAAGGATTTTAATTCCATTTAAAAAAAAAGATAAAAGCCATATTTTCCAACCGAGTCAACCATTACTTTATATAGCGCGGCGCCATGTTTGTTTTGTTTTGAAGCAATCTCTGACTGCTGCTTGAGAACTGCTTTAAATTGATGTTTGTGATGTTACTCTGAGTGTGCATCCACACCGGGCAAGCTGAAAAGTTTGCTTGGCCACGGTGGGAATCGAACCCGCGACCTTTGGGATACTAGTTCAATGCTCTGCCAACTGAGCTACGCTGTCAAGTCGGTTCGTCTCTCCAATGATTTATCTAAATTGGCTGATGATTGTAGAAAACTTCATGTTATATTCAGTATTAGGGACGTAAAAACACCTGTTCGCAGGCTAAAAACACATGTTCGAAAGATAGAGTTCCAAGCGGTGAGCGAGTGAGCATTTGTGTAAAGTTTTAGATTAAATATATTAGTGATCTTAAGCAAGTGACGTTTTTGACAACACGGACGTCAACCGGAAGTAAAGTTGACGTTTTTCACCAATCACAGCCCTTGACCCAGTCTTCTGACATTACTCATGCCGTTCGTGTTGTCAAAAACGTCACTCGCTTAAGCTCACTATTGTCAAAATATACGGTGAACGTGAGTATTTAGGAGGCGTATCGGTCCAAGTCCATACGTTTTCGACACAGTGACGACCCACGGCAGGATTGGAGAACTTTGCGAGTTTCTACGAAGCGAATTTTAGTTGACAACGAACCCTATCTAGTGCATCGACGGCAAAGTGAAAGTGGACTTTTTACGACGATAATCGTGAGTTTTGACTGTAAAGCGATAACATTTACTTAGAAATTGTGATTTTCTTGTGTTGTGACTGTTTGTATGTGGTTTTTACAATCGATATTTGAGGAAAAATTGACATTGAATTGTGCCTTTGGGTACGATTTGAAAAAAAACAACAAGTAATCAACAATAAGTGTCAATCGGGAACTGGAAACGAAAGTTGAACAGTATTTCATTTAAGGAAGTTATTGTGAACCATTACGTCAATATTGTGGATTTTATTGTGTTTGCTGAATTTTTGTACATTCGTTTGAACCGAAATACATACTACAAACATGGAAAAACTTTTGGAAGATCTCGAGGGTAAATTAAAAGCACTAAAATATCGAATGAGTAAATCAGATGACGTTATTACTACACAGGACAAGGAAACGTTAGAGAGACAACGTTTATCAGTAAGTGCTATATCGACAATGGTAAACACATTGAAGGAAACTATCGAAGAGAAGATGTTCTTACAAGGGAAACACGAAGAGGAAGTAAAGATATGGGCTGCAACACCTGAAACAATGCTAACCGAAGCGGACCAATGTGTTCGGAGAGATAAGCCGTGTGGAGTTGGCTGCGAAAGAAGAGCTAACATTGAAAGAAGAACAACATAAATTGGACTTTCAGAAACGCTTAACTGAACAGAAGTTAAGACAAGAGAAGGAAGCAGACGAAGAGAAACGGAAATTAGACTGGGAGCACCAACAGAAACTTAAAGAATTACAACCAACTTCACAACTATCGAGTCAATCAACTTCAAAAGTATCTACTGCAGCAAAAATGCCAAAGTTGATTATTTCAAAATTCATGGGGACGCCCCAAGATTGGGTACGATTTTGGGGGCTGTTTGAATCCCAAATTGACAAATCAGCTGCAGATGTGACCAAATTTTCCTATTTGAAGGAACTAGTAGTAGTAGACGTAAAGGTTCGAAAACTTATCGATGGACTACCATTTACTGGTGAGGGGTATGCTAGAGCTAGAGATATTTTGAAGAAACGATATGGACAGACGAGCGAGGTTGTAAGTGCTTATGTCCGAGCCATTCTGGAATTGCCTACCATCAAGGAGAGAGATGTTTCCAAAATTCACTCCTTTTACGAGACCCTGTTGTTTAATGTTGAATCGTTACAAACCCTCGAAAGCCTTGAGAAACTGGATGCTGCTGTGAGATTTACATTCGATAACCTAGATGTGATGGTATGGTATGGTATGGTATGGTGAAACTTTATTTAATGACGCTGGCCCCGACAGCAATTAGCCGATTTCCACGGGGGGCGTCAAATATTAACTATTTACAGAAAAGAAATATTTACATTGTAAATGTTGCTGGTGTGACCACAAATATCATTTAGCTATCATTACCTCTAATGATATTCTTAAATGGGCTAACAGATTCCGCTACCTTTGCATCAAACGGGAGGCTATTCCACAATTTGGCCCCACTATAATTGAAACTCTTTTTAAGGTACTCTCTTTTTGGTTTAGGAAGGGTTAAATCTGTTAGACTATTTCTAAGATCGTAGTTAGTTTGGCGAGTGTTTCTCAATATTAGAAACTCCTTAAGGTTAGGGCCGATGTAGCCATTCAAGACTTTGTACAACAATATTGATTTAGTTGTACACCGTCTTGTCTCTAGATCGTCCCAGGCAAGGGAGCGAAGAACATCAGCAGATCGCGTTTCAAAACTTGCACCGGCTATAATTCTTGCAGCCCGATTTTGGAATCTCTGAAGTTTATCTTTGAGTTATTTGCTGCAAACTCCCCAAAAGGGAGAACAGTAATCAAAATTGGGCTGTATTAACGCTTGGTAAATTGTTTGTAAGGTGTTGGCAGGGACGAAAGGTTTAATACGCTTCATCATTCCTATACCTGCCGCGACCTTTTTACAAATCACTTCAATATGTTCATTCCATTCAAGAGTTTCGTCCAGTTTCACTCCAAGACAGGTAAATGACCTCTCACGAGGAACCAGCTGGTTATTTATAACTACGGGAAGATCATCATTCATAATTTTGAGGTTATGCCTCGATCCTATATACATTACTTTCGTTTTCGTTGGATGGTGTTGTAATTTATTTCTAATTAGCCATTCTCTGAGTTTGTTCATATCATGGTTTATATTTTCAGTAAGTTTTTCTAAGTCTTTCGCTGCCGAAAAAATCTGAGTATCATCTGCATACAAGCAAGGGGTGGGTTTATCAAGACAATCTGGCAGATCGTTAATGTACAGTAAGAACAGTAAGGGACCCAGAATTGATCCCTGCGGGACACCACAAACGATCTTTTTGGGTGTAGATATAATTCCATTAACTAAACACACTTGTTCTCTGTTAGTTAAATAGGATGAGAACCAATCTAGTTCAACATTAGTTATTCCAAATTGCACTTTCATTTCAACATTAGGTATTCCAAATTGCACTTTCGTGATCAAATCAGAACTTGCAATAACTAACGAGAAATGGAGTGAGTAGACCTTTATGGAATTTGTACATGCCCTAGAACTCTGGAAAAGAACAATCCAATTAAAGAAACACCTGGTTCAAAACATCATAAGGAGCGAGACAGATCTTACTTCTCCAAGAATAACGATAATAACAATAAGGGCTGTTTATACTGTTCAAGTCCATCCGCTGTAACAAAGTTGTTGACCCTGGGGCGAGAAAGAAAATTCTAGCCGGAAAACACTTGTGCTTTAATTGTGCTAGCGGAAGACATCGTGCTGCGGAGTGCAAAAGCAAGAATAGATGTCAGATATGTGAAGGTAAACATCACACGTCGATCTGCGATAAGAGTCCTCCACCGCGGGAACCTGGTATGACTGCGAATTTCATTGGTGCTTCCACTGTTGTACACCTCGTTGTAGTTGTTTGGATAAATGGCTACAAATTCCGAGCGTTGTTGGACAGTGGCGCTGGTCATTCATACGCGTCTTCAACTGCTATTCAGATAATTGGTGCCAAATGCAAGTCGGCTGGTATACGACAAATTGCAATGTTGACAGGAGTGACCACCCGAAAGATGCAAGTTTACGATGTCCATATAGAATCCCTCAGCAAAAATTTCGCCCTCGACGTGAGCATAACAAATATAGAGAAAGATGAGTTGCTTCGCCTAGAAAACCCCCATTACAAAGAAATCCTGAAGAGGCACCCTCATCTGAAAGGTGTCTACATGGACGATTATGATGAGGACATGCTGCCTGTTCATATCATCCTTGGGGCAAATGATTACGCTAAGATTCGTACTAATTAAAATCTATGTGTTGGTCAGACAGGAGAACCAGTGGCTGAACATACTCATTTGGGATGGTCTCTCATGTCACCTGGTGAAGATGGAAAGGAAACGTTTGGCTATTTAGCTGTGAATTCGATCTCAGATTATGATACCCCTCGACGTGCTGAGTTTGTCTGATAATGTAGGTGCTGATGGTGATGTATTTGACGAATTCAAAGAGCAGCTGACAAGATCCAAGGACGGTTGGTACGAAACGTCACTTCCATGGAAACCTGGTCATCAACCCCTGTTATCAAATCGTGATGGTAGTTTATGTCGTCTCAATTCTCTCTTACGGAAATTAAAACGGACGGACATGCTTCCAGAGTATGATGCTGTGATCAGAGAGCAAATCGAACAGGGAATCGTAGAGAAAGCTCCAAGTGAAGTTACGGGTAAAGAATTCTATCCCCTCTTCGCGCCGTAGTCAGAGAAAATGCGTAAAACCACGAAAACCCGAATTGTTTATGACGCATCCGCCCGTCAACGTGAAGATACGCCATCATTAAACGATTGTCTACTTACCGGTCCCCCATTACACAATGAACTGTGGTCAGTGATAGTTAGAAACCGATTCCACCCTGTTGCTGTTGCAGGAGACGTGCAAAAAGCCTTTCTACAAATTAGAGTCCGGGAAGCTGAGCGTGACGCGTTACGGTTCCATTGGATCAAAGATTTACATTCCACCAAAGTCGAAGTCCTCCTTTTTACTCGAGTTGTCTTTGGTTTAACTTGTCGCCGTTTCTATTGAATGGAGTCATCGCGAGACATTTTCAGTTGATTGAGCCTCTTCTTCCCGAGACTGTAGCTGAAATACGTAAGAGTTTGTACGTGGATGATTTAATCTCTGGAGCATCTACTACTGATGAAGCAATCGAGCTTAAACAAGACGCGATCGACATCTTCAATGATGCCAGCATTACCGGAAATGTGGGTCAAGATGGTGGACATGACAAAAAATTACGCAACAAAATGGCGTCCGATAATGCTAGGATTAGTATAGGCATATAAGAACTTTCTAAAATATCGCATCAATGAGCCGCAAATCACGCTTACTTGGCATCGTTTCACATGCTATGCTGATTCAGGAATCTATTAATTCTAACAACTATTTCTAGAATAAAATACACTCACTTCCCGAGCTCATTATTGATATCACATTCACCAGCATAATAACTCCTTATATTGCATGTGAATCTGACAATACACGCCACAAACGTAGACTGGTGGACGGAAATATATCCAGCGAAATCTTCAGCTTGGCATCGCAATTGTTTCAATAGCATTCAAAGTTTATATATTCGCCAGCAAAAGTATCTAAATTCCGCAGGAAACTACTTCCAAATCCTCTAAACGTAGCCATTTTATTCATCCATACATGCTACAAGAGGCCATTTTTATCAGCACAACTACGATAAAATTTTCATACATTGCGTTTCTTCTCCGCCGTATTTGTTTTTAAATTAATTATGCTCTTCTCAGTCTCCTACCCTGCCCAGCACGCAAATTTATGCACATTTCTCAGCTAAATACATTTATTATACGTGCGTAAACGCGTCAAATTTGTAAATTTCTTCGATCGTGCCACAAATAGTGGTTCTGCTGTTGTAAAAAATGTCAGACAATCTTACATTAGTTAATCGCAGTAAAATAAAATGGAATTTAGCCGTCAGCACGGAGTTTCCCCTTCAATATATTAACAACACGATTTGTCTTTGAAGAATGAGCCGCCATTTTGTTTGTATTTTTTGATGAATCATCATTTATGCGTAAAACCGCTGGATACGATTGCGGACGAAAAATGTCCCACATTTCTGGTAATGGATTACGATTACATAAGCGGCATTCGAACGCCCCAGAACTTGAGTCGGACATAAGTGACAGTTCGATTACATTTGCTAGGCAACAGTTGGGTGCCAATCCAAAAGAAAACGAGTGCAAGCTATTGGGCCTGAAGTGGAACAAGATCGAAGATACCCTACAAGTCGATTTCCCTACCGTGCCTGCGGTGTTAACGAAGCGAGGTGTTTTGGCGTACTTAGCAAAAGTTTACGACCCTCTAGGTCTAACTTCACCTATGATGCTCGAGGGCAAGATTATATATCGTGAAATATGCGAAGAAAAGATTCGATGGAATGGATCTATTCCTGATGAGCTCAGCAAACGGTGGTTGAAATAGTTGACCTGCACCGAAGGACTTAGCATAGCTTATATTCAGTTATGCAGATATATTTACGTAAAAATCCAAGTTGTGATTGGTTGGATCAGTAAATATATGCTGACAACGACTTAAAGCAACTTAAAATGACTCAAAGGGACCTAAGTGAAACTAAAATAATAGGCAGACTATTTGCATGATTATAGTGATCTCTTTCTTTATGATAAGATAACAGGTTGTTAGTTACTCCTGCCTCGAGTTTTGTAAATTGACACTCGATCGCGATAAGGATTTGACCGGCAACCAATGAGTTATAGTTTGACCGATCGATTTTGTCGACCATGCCATATCGACCACGCATGCAGCAGTTCCCATGGTAAAGAGTAAACTTGCTGTGCTAAGTGGTTATATAATATTACTACCTGAAATAAACAAGCAGAAACTCGACGTCAAAGCCTATCAAAACGTCGAGTTTCTGCTTGGTTATTTCAGGTAGTAATATAACCACTCAGCACAGCGATTTCACATTGGTACTACCCACACTGGTGCAGACAGTTTTAGTATAAAGAGTAAACTGGCCTGTGCAAAACAACTTGTCCCATATGGAATAATATAGCTAATTCCCTTGCCTGCCATGGTCCTTTAGTTGTTCGGTTAGGTTGTTGGGAAACCGCTACATTCTAGTCTACAACTCCTCGAAAGTTTACGCCAAACGGCATGAAACTTGGTTTTATTGAGGTTGTATATTGTAAGCAAATATGCATGCTCAACACATGTCAAAACACAGAACAATTTGCATGCTATGTCCTATGAATATGATGCTATCTGATATATAATATTCATTGTCCTGTGTCGATGATATTGAGTCAATTTGTTTGTCCATAAAAACAACATTTCAGCAATATATGTATGAGAATACTATCTAAGCAAAAGGCCAAACTTGTGCCAAAACCCTGCACATATTAACATATGTCATACAGTTAAAGAAGTAAATTATATAGGAAACGACCAAAGCAATAAAGTTCAATGATCAAAATTCCTAAATCATGGGAGATATAGCATTGCATGTAGTATATGTAGAAACAAAGCATACTCATTAAAAGACGCCTGTGGGATTTGCAGAGTCGAAAATATTCAAATGATCAACAATAATTTCTAAACAAGTATACATGTAGATGAAAGCTTAAAGAAGTAGGACCTTGAAATGCCACCTCGCCATGTACGAAGAAACACATAACATTGTAGAGTCGTGGTCGTGGAAAGGAACTGTGGGTGCAGGTTGCTGTCAAACTCAATTAGTTGATAAAATGATTGGAAACGATGCCCTAATGAGTAATGTGTTCATGCAGGAGGGCATTCAATCGGGCTTCAACATTGCTCTCTTCCACTGACTCGTCAAAAGCAGAATTTATAATTCTATAATAATTGATATAAATAAAGAAAAACACGTTACAAATTGCATTTATGTTAAGCGTAGCATAAGATTCACAATGACCATGTTGTCATCCATTTCGCCTTGATTTATTGGGTATCTATACGTTACATGATATTTTAAAACTGTATGCAAATAATTCAATGCTTACAACTACTGCATTCAAACAATTATGTGTGCTATATTTTACAATAGCTATACTGTAGAAATTAAAGACATCATGGAGACACTGATGATTATCATATGGCCAACACGGCAAGAGGATCAACATCCAATAAGAATCATCAATTTTGCGTAGGTTGAGTCACGATAATGATATTAATGAGGCTTTACGTTCGCTTATGTGCTTCCGTGCAGGTCAACTAATGGGAAAGTGCGTTACCAAGTTGTCTGTCGTTTCCACGGTGCATCCCAGTTTATCGAGATGGCATCCAACAAGTGAAATTACACTCATTCGGAGATGCAAGCAAAAAAGGTGTATGTGCAGCCATGTACGCCGTTGTCCAGCAAGAATTGGGGACTGTGCAAGGTTTGGTGCATGGCCGCAAAATCACGACTCGCAAAAACTAACTTGACTATCCCCAGGCTCGAGTTTGTTGCGGGACATATTGCGGTAAATTTAGCGGTCAAAGTAAGAAATGCTCTGGAAGGGTTTAAAATCGCAGAAAACATCCAATGTTGGCTAGATAGTACCGTGCCACTCCATTGGCTAAATGATGACGGACAGTATCGTCAGTTCGTCGCTAATAGAGTGAGAAAAATGCGAAGCCATGAAAACGTGTTGTGGCGTCATGTGCCCACAGCTGAAAACCCTGCTGATTTGGGAAGTACAGGGGGTAGTGTGGACGGAGCTACATTGTGGTCTGACGGTCCTGATTGGCTATCGGACGAAAGGAAATGGCCCCAAATATTATGACGAAAGCCAGTGATATGAGTGAAGCGGAGAAAAAGATCCTACGGGAACTTTCTGCGGTTGGTGTCGAGACAAACGATGTTGTAGAGACTGTTCTTAGTAAGTTCGAACTGTGCAAAGCTTTGAGAATTTTTGGATGGGTGATACGTTTTCTTAACAACTGTTGAAATCCATCCACGAAAGTGACCGGTGCAATAACCACAGACGAAGTCGTGAAACTTGTAATGGTGTGGGTAAACCAGACTCAACAACGGGCAGTAAATGATCTGAAGTTCGCAGAAGACAAAGAGCAGTTACAACTAGAGACGAACAAAGATGGCATTTTGCAATGTCACGGCCGTATCCAAGGTGAATACCCAATATTCTTACCGGACAGTGCATTATTTACTACCAAGGTTGTGCAAAGAGCTCATTTATCTACTCTGCATGGCGGCGTTGGAATGGTGATGGCAAAAGTTCGTGAGAAGTACTGGGTTCCCAGATTGAGGAAGCTAGCCAAGAAAGTGATTTCGAGTTGTTATGCATGTAAGAAATTTCGAGCCCGACCCGCCAACGCACCACCCACTGGTCTATTACCGAAGTGTAGAACCGAGCAGTCTACGCCCTTCGCGGTGATTGGTGTAGATTTCGCTGGCCCGGTGAGATATCGTCTCAGGGGAAGAGAAGCAAAGTCGTATGTTGCTCTATTCTCATGTAGTCTAACGCGTGCCGTGTTCCTGGATTTATTACGAAGCCTCGAGACCAAAGAATTCATAAAGAGTTTGAAACGGTTTATTGCCAGACGAGGAAGACCTACTACAATTTATCCGGCCAATGGTTCGACATTTATAGCAGCTTCTAAGTGGTTGAAATGTATTCGAAAAGATGAAGAGCTCAACAATTTCCTTCGCAATAACACCATCTCCTGGCGATTCAATCTAAGCAGAGCCCCTTGGTGGGGGGTGGGGACAGTTTGAGCGGCTGATTGGGTTGATGAAAGGAATTTTCTACAGGACGGTTGGGAGCGGGTTACTAATCTTACTCTTACTCTTAATTACATGGAAGAGGATGTTCAACTTCCTACTCTTACGCCGAATTCGATGTTGTTCATCACTCCAAATTATCTACCGGAATTAAAGGCTCATCATGAAGATGATTTAAGTTTGAGAAAGCGATCGAAGTTCTTGAAACGCACGAAAGAAATGTGGAGAAGGTGGACAAATGAATACATGCGTGCTCTGAGAGAACGTCATAAGTTAAAGCATAAGTCGAAAGATAACAACATCGTAGTCGGAGACGTAGTGTTGATCAAGTCGGAGGATCGAAACAGAAACAAATGGCCCTTGGGAATCGTGGAAAGATTGATCGAAGGTAAAGACGGTGTAATTCGCGCGATACGTCTCAGAAGCGGTCGAGATCGATTAGAACGAGCTCCACAACATTTATATCCGCTCGAACTCAATTGCGACTCCACCAATAAAGAGGACGGGGAGGAGACAAACCAAACTCCTTTGGATGCAAATGCAATATCGTTCGTTCCGAATCCCCATTAAGGAAATGGACTACAATCTGAACAAGGGTGAGTTTCGAGACGCAGTAAAGCTGAGATATGAGTGGAAAATTGCTGATAAGCCATCAGTATGCGTGTGTGGCGATACTTTCAATATTGATCACGCAATTATCTGCAAGCGAGGTGGGTTCATCATACAGCGCCACAACGAGCTGCGAGATCTTGAGGCTGATATGTTTAACATCGTCTGCAATGATGTCGAGGTTGAACCCGTTCTTCAAGAGTTAACTGGCGAGGTATTACCAAGTGGAGCAAATACAGCATCCGACGCTCGCCTAGATATCCACGCTCGAGGGTTTTGGGAGAAACAAAGGTCCGCGTTCTTTGACGTTAGGGTTTGTCACCCCAACGCGGAATCCTACAAAGACCTGAGCCCTCAACAGATATACAGGCAACATGAAAACGAGAAGAAGAGGATGTATGCCCAAAGAGTGATGGAGATAGAACACGGAACGTTTACACCATTAGTATTTACAACGACTGGAGGCATGAGTGAAGAGTGCAGGAGGTATCATAGCAGATTGGCCGAGCTCATAGCAGCGAAGAAAGGCGAAGTCTACTCTACGACCATGTCCTGGATACGAGCCAAGGTCTCCTTTGCCATCTTGCGGTCAGCTCTACTTTGTCTTAGAGGGACTAGAGCACCCAGGAGGATAACAACGAACATTCAAGAAACGGACTTCGAAGTAGACAATTCTCGTGCCAAAATTTAGGCTTAGACTTTTCCCATAAATTCTTACTATAACATATACTATAACATACTACAACAATTTAGACTCACTTCCTTATATATACCAGTAATTAGTTATTAAGAGCGACTGTCAGTAAACATCGAGCAAAATTTGAATTCTGCGGCAATACACAAAAAATAGATTTCTTTAATATTTTGCTTAAATTTAGCTAATACATAGTTATAATGGTGTTTGGGTTAGATTTTCAATATTTGGTCGATAAACGTACAAATATCAGAAATCAAGAATTTGTCTCCGGAAGGCTATAATTATCCGCACACAACGCCGTTGCCATGGTCAATTTCATCACTTCGCGACGGATTCAAAACTGCCCGTAGATAGTTCTGATAGTTTAATGACTATAATTCAAGTATTAAAGAACACTGTTATCAATAT